TGATTTTTATGAAGGTTTAGAATTTAAAAATGTTGAACTTAACCTTTTTTTTAGTTCAACTTGCAAGTTTGAAATTGATATCATTAAATAGAATATTTTATGAATATTTAAAAAATGGTTTTTTGAGATTGATATATGGCCAGAAATTCATTGTGATCTCGGTTTGTTGCGTTGTCATAGATTCCTTGGGTAAGTCTTACAGTGTGTGAGTTGTCTGCTGTTCTATTATCTAGCATAATTTAACTGAAGTGTTGTTGTTTAATTCTTAAACTTAGCTAGAAGGATTTAAGAAAAAAATTCAGTACTTTATACTTATTATTGATTTATTGTAATTAAAATAGTTGAAATATAAGTAATCGTAATAATAGTCAATACACTTAATAGTAAGTTGACGGAACTACGACCATTTATTATTAAAAATATTTGATCCGAATATGAACAAGTCCAGTGATCAGCTATGTGTTTGACCATCATGACTTGTGCAATAGTTCAGTAGATTTATGTAATTACTATTAACAGCAAATTTATGAAAAAATCCCAACATTTTATTAAAATCACTTATTATGTGTTTTGAATATATATGGTAATAAATAATTTTAATAGAAATATTAACCATTTCTATGTATGTATATAACTCTTGGTGTTTAAATAGATTCTACAATAGAAATATTCAGAATTGTATTCCATACAGTCATATCCTGTACTATAGGAACTATAGTATTCTATAGTACGCTGATATTTAGAAATATACTGTGCCTAGATTCACCTATGATTTCGTGCGCTGCTGTGTTGTTGAATTTCAATATAAGCTATATTTTTTAACTATTTTTTTAAAATCTGACTGTTAACCTAACACAGAGAAGATTCAAAATAGAAACTAATACACAAACATTTTACTTTTTCAAATTAAGTTTTAATTATGTTCCGGAAATACTGCGCCTTTTAGAAATATGTTAAATTAAAGCTTATGATATGTACTATAAATTAAAAAAGTATATATGACCTATCTTCTATTTATAAATGCCGTAATTAAAAAACGTGTTTTTATTTTGTGTTAAAATTTTTAATTTTCGATTTTATATTTTCAACTTTAAATTGATATAACTTTTTGAAAAATTAATAACAAATTAAAATAATATCTATACAATATTTTTTGTTATAAATACTTTATATAACCCCCTTTCTTTCATATACTTTTTTTAAATCGGACCATTTCCTTTTATACGGGAAGGTTTAAATCTTGAAATATTTTAGTAAAATATGTCAAATTAAAGCTTTTGTTTGGTACTATAAATTAACAAAATAAATAGTCCCAGCGTCTTATCTTTTATGTGCAAATACAATACTATTGTATATAATTGCTATTGTCAGTACATTTTTAACGTTTCTGTGTTTTTCAAATATGTGTGAGTGTTCTCTCTAACCTGCAAGCTCATGCATTGTTATAACATACTATACGTACTACTACACACCGTAGATAATTATAATTATAATTAATATGTAAGCTAATACAGTGTGGGTGCTCTGTTCATAATTGTGCTCTCAATAACACCCACATTGTTGCTGTGAAGAATGTAGACACTATTCTACAGTTTTAAAGTACTGCGGTCTCATGCAGAGGATTCTGTGGAATGGAGAATGTTCATCGGCTCAGATAACCAAGTCATGTGATTCATGAAGGAGTCAGATCGGCTATAACATCAAGTAGTACCCAAACACCAGGGAGAATATTTTCATTGTATCCCTTAGATCATAAGGCTACAATAGCATTAATATATATACATTAATCATTTAAAGGTTATATACTTCATTTTAGGTTAAGTATTATTATTGGTCCTTATGATCCTTTCATAAGCTATTGACGCCAACCATTAATTTAGGAGTGTCCTGGCGCAACAATTATTATAATTCAATAAATAATAAGAGCAATTATGTTTATCACATAAATCTAGTTTAGTAGAATACTTAAATATCATAAAGGTGTCAATATTGGAGAAGATTTGTTATATATCAAGGATGTCACATGTATTAAATTATTATTCTGTAAAGACTCTTTTTGGTAAACATTTTTTTATTATTATTAACTGTGTAAGAGTTATTCGTTGATATTTTGTTAATGTTTATGTTTTGAAATATCCTTGAATATATTATTGTAATTTTTAAGAATATACATTCATTTGATTACATAATGATTCATCTTTTTTAAAACCTACGTCCAGGGCCGCATTTAGGAATTTTGCACTTAATTTTGCCGCCCCCCAAAAAGTGTTGGGTTGGGTTTTTTAGTTGAGCAAAAAAAAAAAAGTCTTCAAAGAAATTTCCCTTATTTACATTAGACATCAATTGGACCATATATGGGGGCTACAATCCCCATAGACCCCCCATCAATCAGAAAATCATGGCCGAGTAATACGTCGCAATGCAGGTCGTCTAAAATAACCGCTGAAAAACGCACTTTTAGATCCGCGATTTTANGGTCGTCTAAAATAACCGCTAAAAAAAGCACTTCTAAATCCGCGATTTTAGCGGTAAACGTGGCGGTGTGTCCGTCCGCTAGTCTAACCACGTCGGTGTGTCCTTTTTAAACAGTTCCGTATTTATAAGCAATTACCGGTTTTACATACGATTTATGCGCCTGTGAGTCGTGTAAAGCTGTGACGAAGCCATTTTGGAATTCTAACTCGACTGCTGGAGTAGTAATTCTACGCGGTCATTTTCATTACTCGGGTGGTTTACGGTTCGAACGGCGGGCAGCTGGTTCTTAACCGCGACGCCGGTTTGCACACTGACAGTGTTAATTGCCATTAGTGGACTAGCCGGATCGACTTACACCCCCTCCCCCACTGTACCCGAAAAAATTTCGAACACCTGACTCGCGCTATGTTCGGTCGTATCGGCAGTGTCTTCGAACTCCGATACCCTGATTACATCCGAATGTACCGCGGCGTACCCTCCATCCCGATAAGAGGTGTGCGGTGCCGAAAAAGTGCCAAGTCGTTGGCGGTATGTAACTCGTAAGGGCCGTTAGATTCGGTGTTTTGCGCGACGGTCGTGATGCGTGATATGTTGTTACCGAATAAAAATTGCGTAGGGCGCGTTTTAACTGAAACGTCGTTTAAAACGCTGCGCCCTGTTTGGATCTGTTGTAGGCTGGGGGGGCGGACTAATTCCCTCCTAGCCGATTGCCGTTTCCCGATACCGACGGTCTATTTGGGCATTGGCGATGCCAGTGTCGCTCGCTGCAATATCGGCACGGGGTAGGCGGTGCGTCCGCGTGTGCATAACCCGCTCGATGTCGGGCCGCTGGCGGAGCGTACCGAGGAGCCGCGGTCTTATCTACGTCGTGCGCTATCTCACGTAGATCGGCGAAAGACGCTGGGTGCATTAACCGTATCGTAGCGCAGTAATCGTCCCGTAAAAGCCCCGTTAACTGTCGCAAAAGTTGTTGTTCTGGTAACCCACAACGTACTCGGGCGGCCAAACGTTGTTTATGAACAATAAACTCGGTTAACGCTTGTCGGGGGTCATGTCGCGTCGTTTTTAATTCCGTCTGGAGCGCAGTCCGGGTATCGATATTTTTTAATTCCTCGAGTAATTCGGACATATATTCCGTCCATGGCATAATGTTTAATTTTATGGCTCACCACCAATCACCTGCCCTGTCGTTCAAAAAGGGGACGACGATATTCACCCACGCGATTGGGTGTATACCGCCCTGACAGAGTAGATCCTCCGCTCTGTCTAGAAACTCCCGTGGGTCCTCTTCGTTTCTCCCGTAATACTCAGGTACGCAGGCGCGTACGGTAGGCGACAAATCATTAAAGGACCGTCGACCGTCGGTTGTGCTGAATTGTCCCTCCCGTGGTTGGCGCCTAAACGAAAAATCGGTCGGCTCGTTCTCATATGTATGATTGCGCTGATAATGTTCGTCTTGGTAATCCGAGGTAGCGACGCTTGTACGTACGACCGTCTCATGTTGCGGGCTTGTTGTGCTTCGATGTCCGCGACGCGCTCGTGTAGTGTCGCGTCGGGTCCATCGCTCCCGATGGACCGAATGTAACGCGATGCGCTTCTGATCGTCGACTATCATTTCGGTCAACGTTAACTTGTCGAATAGTCGGTTGTATAGCAACATGTGGGGACGGCGGCATATTTTGACTGATTCGCTCAATCATGTTGGAATTCTGTCGCTGCCGTATATGATATGGCAGTGAGTGAACAATAATAATAACGGTTACCTGGGAATCGGCCGCTTTGACAAGGTCAGACGTAAATATACTATTTTTATCTACCAATAGACTGTAACAATCGGCCGGAAATTAACTTTCTGTCGATATCAATAAGGTCTTTATAATAAACTGTAACCAACACTTTTCAACGACAATAGTTACAGCGGACTGTATTAGATAAACTACTCTAACTTTATTTTTATAAAAAATTTTCCAGAGACCAAGTCAAATCTAATCCCGCTAACACGTAACTGTGATGAACCCAGGTAAAAATTCACTGCTGTCATCAGTGAAATTCGTTCAAATAACTATATGAACAGTAAAAATTTGTAAGGGAGACTTCAACGTTCTAAGTTAAAACTAAAATCTAATAAACAGTAGAACCTAATTAATCCGGACTTCGCTAAATCCGGATAGCTGTCTAGTATTACGAAAAATACGCAGTTTATGCCGTAGACTAAAATAAACATAAAAGCAAGTTCCTCGAATTTCCCATAAGTACATATATTATTATCTACCGTCATTAAAGTTATCATAAACTAATATCATGTTGCAATACATATATATTGTATATCATACATAGTAATTAGTATAATATAATATTCTTAAATCTATAATACGAACATGTTGTTTGGTTATTTTGTTTAAACCGGACTTTCATTAAATCAGACAACCTAGAGCCCTTATTGGTTCGGATTAATGAGGTTCTACTGTAATTAGAAATAAAACTGAATCGGCTCAAAGCCTCTTACCTTAACTTCTCTCGGCCGGTTTAGATTTCGTACTAGGTCTAGTTTAGTTTAATAATACATTAATTTCAGGATTTGATTCTAAATCATGTGTCAACTTTCTTTTTCTCACAACTGCTTCATTATTTTTAGTACCACCAAACAATAAATCCTATAAGTTATACATGTATCAAATCTATGATTATTGAAATAATACATTTTTTTTATAATAATTACAGTCTTGCGAGGAGTATCTGAAGAATATTTTGTAATTTTTCTTTTAACAATAATTGATGACTGGCTAATAATATCTTCTTCTATTAATGTACTGAATCCAAGTAGAAGTGAATCTGGAGACTAGAAATAAAATAAAATAAAATTAGGAAAAAATCTGTTAAACTTTTTAAAAGGTAAAATAATTACCGATCCTGTTGGGGATACAGCAATGTCTAAGAATTCATCATCTGAATCATCTGTATATGATGTATTGCTCTCAGATAATGTTGACACTGATCTAGAATCATCCGAATGAGCAGCAAGAGAACCGTTGTCCTGTGAATTAGGATCATGATCTTCAAGTGCATATCGTCGTCTTACACGGCGTTTGTATTTTGCAAACTAGAAACCATAAATTACAATATTTATTTTCATTAATATTGAATTTATAGAAAATTATTAAATTTAATAGTAAATTTGATATCGAACATTGATANAATTATTAAATTTAATATTAAATTTGATATCTAACATTGATCGTTCTTTTTAACTATAGCTATTTAACAATACATAATTAACATTTTAGAGATGAATAAAAAATTTAATTAAATTTACTGTAATAAATAAACAGACTAAGGTTAATGATTTAAATTATCCTGGGATTAATTAATGTTAATATATTATTAATACATACTTCACAGTTTAAGAACGCACAACAGTATGGAATCTTGCTTGACATAATTATTGTACAAATAATACACAATGTATAACTAATACAAATTTGTATAATTATATTATTTAAAATATCTTTTTAAGTTTTGTGTTTATACAAAATAATATAATTTTAAGGATTTAAATAATTATTTTATGATTTAGTTTAAATAAATATTTGTTTATTTAAGGTATTAATAATAAAAATATCTATACAATTTAATTGTT